AAGTAAGAGAACAAAAAATGTTGTTATGCTCATGTTTCAGATAATTAAACACCTCTTAACATTAAGCAATGATAATCTGAATGATCCAGGTTACAAGAGATAATTGCAGTCTTTTATCAAATTTCTTATCAAACACTTTTGTAGAGAGAGTATTTTTATTCACAATTAAAACTGTTATTAATAATTTATTAATTAATGTTTCACTAAATAAAATAAAATGTAGCCATGAGATACATTTAATAAAAATCATGCATAGCTCATTTTATGATTTGTTTAGTCCTTTATTTATTTACTTCAATCTTTATTTATTTATTTGTCATGTTTCTCTTTATTCCAAGATTCTTTCATTTCAAGAGATGCATTTTCTATCTATCTTATTTCAAGACATATTTATTTATTTCAAGATATATTTTATTTATTTTGGTGGTGTTGTTCATCCATCCATCCGTCCGTCCGTCAGTCCATCCATCCATCCATCCATCAATCATCCATCCATCCATCCATCCATCCATCCATCCATCCATCCATCCATCCATCCATCCACCCGCCCGCCCGTCCTCTGACATGGGAGCTGGCTCGGAGCTCATCTGCCTGACTGTGTGTTTCGTGGACAGGGACGCCTTTTACAGTTGCTTTTTGTATCTCTGCTTCTTTTTCTATGTCTGCTTCTGTCTCCTTGAACCCCAGTCGGCCTCGGCAGATGGCCGCTCACACTGAGCCTTCCGTAAAAATTCAAAAAATATCCACTGGACTTGGTTTTCAAGATTTGAAGACGTTTCTCCACCTCTCCAGGAAGCTTTCTCAATTCAAATGTCTGGATCCGCAGTGAGTTTGAGTCTTATATAGACAACGCCTTGTATCGCTTGGAAACATGCAATGGTAACCGATGAATGGGTCGTTAGTTCCATCGTTAGCCTGTAATCTGAGCCTGGTTCTGCTGGAGGTTTCTTCCTGTTAAAAGGGAGTTTTTCCTCTCCACTGTCGCTACAAGCATGCTTAGTGTGAGGGATTGCTGAAGAGTCAATGAGTCGATGCAATCAACTGGTTTTCCTTAGATAGAAAACTTTGAATCAATATGACTGAATGATCTGATGAACTGTAAAGTGCCTTGAGATGACATGTGTTGTGAATTGGCGCTATAGAAATAAACTGAATTGAATTGAACAATAAATATTTAATTCTGTGTGAAAAAGTGTAGATTATTCTTTAATAGATCCTCTTCAAACGGACATGCAATGTTTGTTTTTAACAATGTGTCTAACAGACCTAATGAATGTTATATATAAATAATAGAACTGCATTATTGGCTGTAAGGAGAGAGGAGACAGAGGACACTGAGTTTACTGAAGAAAACCTGCTTCAGACCAGGTTAGCTCTGGGAGGATGTTACTACGGCGACTGAAACAGAGGATGAGGAATTTCATGTTAAGAAAACTTAGAGTTTTTGGTAACCCTACTTCTTGAAACGGACCCCTCCCTGCTTACATCTGCATACACATGTTGTTTGTAAACGAGGAAACATTTACTGGGTTCATTGAATATAAACTACCAGAACTTTAACTGCTTATAAGAAAAACCTGAGCTTTAACAATTAACAGGAAGGTAATATCAGGGTTTAACAAACACATACATGAATGATAAAAACATAATCCTAAGAGAACAGACACCTCTGTGTGACGAAAGAGAGGGAATTTTTATCTTAAAACATGGTCAGGAATCTAAAAGACATAGAGCCGAATAAATAAAAGAGATACATTCTTGGTTCTGATTAGTTTAACTTGTGGGGAGAGATATTGTGCAGATTCTCCTCTATCTGCTGAGCTCCCTGCTGCGAGTAAAAAGACCTTTGATCATTGATTCCTAACTTCAAAAGGGATGAATAAGCAAGCAAAGACTATTAGTTGTAGATTGCAAATACAGGTGCTGGTCATAAAATTAGAATATCATGAAAAAGTAGATTGATTTCAGTAATTCCATTTAAAAAGTGAAACTTGTATATTATATTCATACATTACATACAAACTCATATATTTCAGATGTTTATTTTGTTTAATTTTGATGATTACAAATGACAACAAATGAAAATCTCAAATTCATCATATCAGAAAATTAGAATATTACTGAAGACCAATAAAAACAAAGGATTTATAGAAATGTTGGCCAACTGAAAAGTATGAACATGAAAAGTATGAGCATGTACAGCACTCAGTATTTAGTTGGGCCTCCTTTGGCCTGTATTACTGCAGCAATGCGGCGTGGCATGGAGTCGATCAGTCTGTGGCACTGCTCAGGTGTTATGATAGCCCAGGTTGCTCTAATAGTGGCTTTTAGCTCTTCTGAATTGTTGGGTCTGGTGTATTGCATCTTCTTCTTCACAATACCCCATAGATTTTCTATGGGGTTAAGGTCAGGAGAGTTTGCTGGCCAATTAAGAACAGGGATACCATGGTCCTTCAACCAGGTACTGGTAGCTTTGGCACTGTGTGCAGGTGCCAAGTCCTGTTGGAAAATGAAATCTGCATCTCCAAAAAGTTGGTCAGCTGCAGGAAGCATGAAGTGCTCTAAAACTTCCTGGTATGTGGCTGCGTTGACCCTGGACCTCAGAAAACACAATGGACCAACACCAGCAGATGACATGGCACCCCAAACCATCACTGACTGTGGAAACTTTACACTGGACTTCAAGCAACGTGGATGAAGTGCCTCTCTTCTTTTCCTCCAGACTCTGGGACCTTGATTTCCAAAGGAAATGCAAAATTTACTTTCATCAGAGAACATGACTTTGGACAACTCACCAGCAGTCCAGTCCTGTTTCTCTTTAGCCCAGGCAAGACGCTTCTGACGCTGTCTGTGGTTCAAGAGTGGCTTGACACAAGGAATGCGACAGCAGAAACCCATGTCTTTCATACGTCTGTGTGTGGTGGTTCTTGAAGCACTCACTCCAGCTGCAGTCCACTCTTTGTGAATCTCCCCCACATTTTTGAATGGGTTTTGTTTCACAATCCTCTCCAGGGTGCGGTTATCTCTCTTGCTTGTACACTTTTTTCGACCACATCTTTTCCTTCCCTTCGCCTCTCTATTAATGTGCTTGGACACTGAGCTCTGTGAACAGCCAGCCTCTTTAGCGATGACCTTTTGTGTCTTGCCCTCCTTGTGCAAGGTGTCGATGGTCGTCTTTTGGACAACTGTCAAGTCAGCAGTCTTCCCCATGATTGTGTAGCCTATAGAACTAGACTGAAAGACCATTTAAAGGCTTTTGCAGGTGGTTTGAGTTAATTAGCTGATTAGAGTGTGGCACCAGGGGCCATCAATTTTGAACCTTTTCACAATATTCTAATTTTCTGATATGATGAATTTGAGATTTTCATTTGTTGTCATTTGTAATCATCAAAATTAAACAAAATAAACATCTGAAATATATGAGTTTGTATGTAATGTATGAATATAATATACAAGTTTCACTTTTTAAATGGAATTACTGAAATCAATCTACTTTTTCATGATATTCTAATTTTATGACCAGCACCTGTACAATTCATACGATTCAAGGAAATAAAAATTATTTGTTTATAGGTGTGAAACTGAGGTAGGGAAATAATAAATTTCTAGGTGCAGAATGTGGCTTATATAAGCGGCAGGGTGAAGAAAATTAATATGTGTGATTATCCTTTAACCAAGTGTGAACAAGGGGTCTGAGAAAAGTAACTGCAGCTCTCATATATTTTACCAACCTTTTTTTTTTAAATGCAAGCAGAGAACTTGATTTTGCATCTTTGATTCATTAATCTATTATCAAAGATTAATTAATTTAATCACCCGGCACAATGTTATTTCCTTCTTTTAACTTTTCAGTATTTTAATATTACTTTTTTCAGTGTTTTGTTCTAATTCATCAACATGGATAATTTTCTTTCACTGGGAGAAAGTTGTTCACGCATTAAAAAAGCTCATGCATATTCTTTAACAAACTCTTAATATTATTAGGTATTCTAAAGTAACTAAAAACAACCAGATAATAGCTTTTGTTCAGTCAGGAAACACAAAGAAAGCATCATTAGTATGCAGAAATACAAACTATTTATATGACCGAAAACGGGACAGAAGCAGGAAACTTTAAGGCCTGACTCTAAATTTGCAATGTTTAACTAATTACTAGTGGTAGGGCGTGATTAAACTTTTTAATCAAGTTAATAACAGGGTCTCTAATTCATTAATCCTATTTTAAGGTGAAACCAAATATGGCAAATAAAATGCCTTTTTAACGGTTAACTGTTTTCTCCTCAGTTACTGAATAAATGGAGCCTAGGCGGAAGTTCAACTGAAGAAACCAATTGCTCTCCTTCATCTGTGAGACAGCCAATCAGCGTTAAACCACACCTCCATGAAAGCCAATCGGCATCCAAAGTTCATCTTAAAAGGCCTCCGATCTGCACCTGTCTGCTCCTGTGTGCAGGCGGCGGATGCGCTGTGTGACTCCATTCAGATGACATCGTTTCAACTCGAAGTGCGTTTGGATCGTCCGCACCAGCTGCTGCTCAGATCCTATCCTCTGACACACCTGTGGATCCATGCAATGCTGCAGAGATTCCCGTCTCTGCCACGCCCTGTTCCCCCGTCTCCAAACGTTTTTATGTTTCAGCCATCAGCAGTCAGCTGGCTCACTCTGCGTTTAACTCGCTGAAACTGTTTCTGTTTAATTGCCTTCTTTAGCAGACTCAGTCTGTATCTTTGCACTACAATCCATTTGGTCATATTCTCATGGCCTCAGACAATGGACTCGTATCTATATCTGTCCTGTTATATCTAGGTGCCGCATTTTGTACAGCTGATCACAGTATTAGATGATAGAATGGCTTGAGCATTCTGTAACCAGCAATAGTCTGTTTTAAATTGTATTTGTTTGACAGATTTTACTTTGCTTATGTTAATGGTAAATCTTCCTTTAGCCCCAGGGCCAGTTCTAGTTACTATATATGCTCCCAATTGATAGTATTTGTATTGAAGACTGAGGCTGATTCGGTTATGTTGGGTATGGATAAACAATCACTCCAGGGTGTCGGGTTAGAACAGCTGATATATATGTCCAGGTGAGTTAGTGAAAGAAAGGAATGTCCGAGTCCAGAATTGAGCTTTACTTCCTTTTAATTAGCTCATGAGGTTCAGCCATACAGATAAAGGCACGTGTGATGGGCTCACATGAGTGTGTATCTGTGTGTGTGTGGTTTTCTACAAAGATGAACAAAGAAAAATTATGAGAATCTGTCTGTAAATCATTTCACAAATAAACCAAATATCCAGAAATGAATAAACGTCTTTAAACATTACTATAGACTAATAACTGGCTAATATCTGACTATGAAAATGTAAATAATAATAATAATAAACCCTGTGTTTCAACCGGAAACAGTAACAGCTGCATCAATTAAACTAGCTCAACAGCTTAATGCTAACAGCTAACCTTTAGCTCTCAATGATACATGTAAACAGCACTAAACAACCATAATATTCGACAGAACACAGTACAATACAGCTCTCAGGCATTTATGAAACCGAACTAAACCAACAACAATATTACTTACGTTCATTGGACGCACACAATAGAAGGAAGTAAACGAAGTCAGCCTTGAGAGCCGCACCACTCAATGCTCAGATCCATATACAAGATGTAACATATATGAACGTGGAGCCACCTAGTGGCTGAAATAAAATACTACATCTAAAACACTGATAAGGAAAACCTAAACTAGAAGGCTGAAAACGAATAATTAACAGTCTTTTGTACAGCCGCCCCCAAATTTGACACTCAAATTTGACCAGTAGGTGTCTTAATCATCTGGAGGTAGAGCAGGCAGCTTTATGAGGCGAACAACTGGCCGAGTGTAGGTCCTGCCTTTAACTTGAACCACAGCTGTCCTCACGCGTCCGTCTGCTCCGGGTATGACACTTATCACTGTTCCTACTTGCCAGAGGGCTCTTGGTGTCTGTTGGTCAACAATCAGCACTATAGTGCCTACAGTGATGTCATCCTTTTCTGTTTGCCATTTCTGTCTGGCTTGTAATGTCGGAAGAAAATGGCGGATGTAATACTTCCAGAAGTGATCTGTTAAAACCTGAGAATGTCGCCACCTTTTTCGACTTAAAAGTTCAGACTTGGGATAGACCACTTGTGGAAGGGAGGAGTCCGGCCGCCCCATCAACAAACAGTTGGGCGTGACTGGATCGGGATCAGCCAGATCAGATGAAACATAGCCCAAGGGCCTGGAGTTGAGAATACCCTCTATTTCAATAAGGACTGTTCTCAACACCTCCTCTGGCACTGACTGAACTCCAAGAGCGATCCGGAGAGCGTTCTTCACTGATCTAACCTCTCGCTCCCAAGACCCACCAAAATGCGGAGCATTTGGGGGATTAAAGCGGAAGTGAATCTGTTGAGCAGCAAGTTGGTCCTTCACTGCTTGTTCCAGGGTACTGAAGGCTTCTTTAAGTTCTTTATCTCCACCTTTGAAATTAGTTCCTTGGTCTGAAAGGATCTCATGAGGCTTTCCTCTTCGAGATATAAAACGTCTAAGTGACATTAGGAAGGAATCGGTGTCCATATTTGGGAGGAGGTCTAGATGGACAGCTCGGGTGGTAAGGCACTTATACAAGATGCCCCACCTCTTTTCGTTGCGACGTCCCACCTTTATCATCATTGGACCAAAGCAGTCCACCCCGGTGGAATAGAAAGGCGGTTTGTAAAGCCTCAAACTGGAGGGTGGAAGATCTGCCATCCTTGGGACTTGAGGGCTGCCTCGCCATTTCCTGCAGTCCACACAGTTATGCTGGTGCTTTCTGATGGCTTCTCTCCCTCTAAGTAGCCAGTATTTTCTTCGCAGCTCAGCAAAAACACGCTCTGCTCCAGGGTGGTTTAGCTGTTTGTCATAATGTTGGATCAGGAGTTTGGAGACAGGGTGAGAGGACGAGAGTAAAATGGGATGGCGCACATCTGGGCCTAGACTTTCACATCGGCGGAGCCTACCTCCAACACGGATTAGATCTAAGGTCTGATCATATTCAGGGGCGAGTGTGAGCACTCTACTGGTAGATGGAAGAGCCTTTCCCGATTTGAGTAACATCATCTCTTCTGGAAAGCTTTCAACCTGAGCCCGTCTGAAAAGAGCTAACTCAGCCTTGTGATAGTCATCAGCAGTGGGAGACTTTTCACTGGCCACTCCATCGAGTACTCTTGCAGTTGCTTCTAGGAGCTCTTGAAAGGTGTTAAACTGCTGAATGTCAGGAAGAGTTAGTTGTGGGGAGTTAGTTAAACCACAGAATACTGGGTTCCTCAATTCCTCCATTTCCTCAATAAGGTGGTCAGCTGATGATTCAGGCCACTGGTCAGATGCTTGCAGGAGGAAGGATGGTCCTTGATTCCAACGACTTTTTTCAGTCAGTTGGGCTAAGGTTTTCCCTCTGGTGATATCGTCTGCTGGGTTGGAAGCAGAATCGATGTAGCGCCAGGATTTGATATCTGATAATTCCTGTATCTCTGCAACCCTTGTACCTACAAACACTTTATATCTGCAGGAATTGGATTTGAGCCAGTTGAGTACTGTGGTGGAATCAGTCCAGTACATCACATTTTGGATCTTGATGGTGAGTTCTTTCAGCAGCACTGAAGCTAACTGTGCTCCAGTTAAAGCACCACATAACTCGAGTCGAGGTATCGATAGCTGCTTCTTTGGAGCAACTCTGGATCTGGCAGCCACGAATGCAACTTGTACCTTTCCATCCCCATTATCACTACGCAGGTACGCCACTGATCCATAAGCACGTTCAGATGCGTCACAAAACACATGGATGGTCTGACTGATGGTACTACGATCTGTGTTGTGGTCAGTGTAGCATCTGGGTAAGGAGATCTGGGACAACTGGGGAAGCTCTTCTTCCCATGACTTCCAAGCTTGGAGCAGATCTTCAGGGAGATTAGGATCATCCCAACCTCTCTTCTTGTCCCAAAGACGCTGTACAATGATCTTAGCTCTGGTCGTATATGGAATAATGTATCCCAGAGGATCGTATTGTTGGGCAAGAAGACGATAGATGTTACGCATAGTTGGTTCAAGACAGTCATGGTTGTGCTGCTTATAGCAGAGCGTGTCTGACTTACACTGCCACAACAATCCAAGAGTGCGTTCTTGAGGGTTAGCTGTTTGTTGTGTGAACCAAAGTGTGCTGCTCTCTGACCTTGATTCTTTGGGTAGGTGTCTGATGACAGCAGGAACATTGCTGGCCCATTCTCTGAGCTCAAATCCACCTTCCCTGAGTACTGTGTGCAGTCGATTCACCAGCTGCTTGGCCTGGTTCTCTGACTGAAGACTCTGCAGACAGTTATCAACATAGAAACAACGTTCTACTGATTGACGGGCATCCTCTTCTGGTGCAGTGTGTTTTTGGACATGACTTTGTAGTGCAAAGGTGGCACAACATGGACTACACGTTGTACCAAAAGGGAGCACTTGCCACTCATAGATAGTAGGTTCCTGGTCCACCTTAACATCTCTCCACAGGAAACGAAGGAAGGGTTTATCCTCATCCAGCAGGCGCACCTGATGAAACATTCCCTTCACATCACTGCTGATAGCCACGGGGTGCTCTCGGAACCTAAGGATTACTCCCAGAAGACTGGCTCCAAGTGTGGGCCCAGGAAGAAGGTGATTATTGATGCTCTGCTCAATAAAGATGAAGGAACAGTTGAAGACTATTCTGTACTTCCCATTGTGTTGAACAATGTGGTGTGGAATAAACCATGAATAGTTGCTCTCCTTTGCCTTGGTTGGGGTTATAGGTTTGACGTAACCAGCATCAATGAGCTTGTGGATTTCTCTGGAGTAAATGGTAGCTTTCTCCGGGTCTTTCACCAGTCGTTTCTCTGTCCCACGCAGCTGTGGTAAGACAGCTTCTTTAGGTGCATGGAGAGGTGGGAAGTCCTGTTTCCATAACAATGGCGTAGCATACCTGTTCACACCATCAACCATTACTCTGGTGGTCTTATCTTCTAGTATGCGAACTGCCTCCAAATCTTCTCTTGACCTGGTAATCAACCGTTCGCTCCTGTATGGCAGCGTATCTAACTGCCACAACTTTTCCACATGACTTAGAAGCTCTGCTTCCAGTGGATTGCACTTAGTGAAGAGGCACTGTTGTGGAGACAGTTGATGGCATAACAGACTTGTGGGGCCTTGTAAAGTCCATCCTAGTCTGGTACGAACTGCAGCAGGCCCACCTGGTGGACCGAGACGTACTGGTTCCACTGGCGTAACTAGATGTGGGTAATCTGACCCTATCAGCAGCAATGGCTGGGCACCTTTAATGGATGGCAGTGGAACGTCTCTGAGATGGCGATACTTTTCCTTCAGAACTTCAACTGGGTAAGTATGGCAGGATAAATTTAGCTGTTTGGCTGTGAAAGCTTTGTTGACCTGGTATGACTTACTAGGCTGTGAAGCAGGAGCAACTGAGAAGGAGACAGTGGCACCGTTAATGGTGCAGACTTCTTGCCGGACGGTACGAAGTGTGAGGTCTTCAGGCTTCCCTTGAAGACCCAGGCTAAGAGCAGCATCATGTAGGAGTATTGTGCGCTCTGATCCATCATCCAGGATTGCGTAGGTCTCCAGTACCTTTGGACCGCTCTGGAGTATGACACGGCACAACTTGAGTAACACTTGATTGTTTCTGGCTGGCCGATCAACGTACAGTGTCTCTGAAACAGAACTCACTAGGCATGTGCTCGGCTGAGGTGGTTGAGGTTCGACGGGTGCTGTGCTCAGTTGGCTGGCATTAACCTCGTGCAGGATATCCAGATGCTTCCTATCACATTGTTTGCACTTGGCTTTGAGATTGCACCTGGCAGCCTGATGTTCCCGTCCGCAACGCCAGCATCGTCTGTTTGCTTTAATCCACTCTGTCCTCTGCTCTACTGACAGGATTTTGAAGTTGCTGCACTGGTTCAAATAATGAAGCTCTGTATCGCAGAAGGGACAGTATTTCTTTGGCTTGTCCTGAGATAGCTCTCTCACAGCTGGAGTCCTATCTGATTTCATCTTTGACTGAGGAGACTGACTGCCAAGTAGAATCGCTGTAGATCTTTGTGACTTGTAGTCAGGACGTCGGCTCTTGGGTGGAACTTGTCTCTCTCTATTGGAGGTACTGCTGTATTGATCTCCACTAACTTGAACTCGTACTTCGTACTCAAGCCAGTCAGCCAGATCAAGCAGGGTTGGAACTGGAGTATGAACAGGGTTCACAAATCTATGAAAATGTGCTCTAAGGTCATGTGGCAACTTCACTAGGAGACGAGAGACATGTGATGCACATCTCAGTTCTGTCCATCCTTGGTTTCCAAGTTGCTGCAGCATTCCTACTAAGGCTCGAACTTGAAGGGCAAAAGATTTAAATGCTTTAATGTCCCCAGGTTGGATATTAGGTCCATCCATTAAATCAGAAATCCTCTTCAGCGCCAGCTGCTGTGGTTGACCATACATCTCAGTGAGCGCTCTTATAGTGTCTGTAAATGGGAGTGGACTGTTACTGTAAGAGTCGGCTATAAGTAGCGCCTCTTCACATTTGAGATGATCAGTGAGTATTTGAAACTTAAAATGCTCTGGAGCATCATATGGGAGTAAGTTGTCGAGGGCTAGTTTCAATCTGGCAAACTCACGAGGGTCCTCGGATTTGAAGTAAGGGATAGTTGGTTTGGGACCATGGTAGTACTCTAGCGCTGAGGATTTACCAAAGGAAGGATCTAGGTGGGGGGAATGTTGGCGGTCAGATGGATATCTGTCTCCCCGACCTCTCTCTCTGTCACAGTCATAGCGTGATGCCTGGTAATCATCATGGCGATCCCTGTAATCAGAAGACCGTCCCCTCTCTCTTCCAGAGTAGCGGCTAACATGGCGAGCGCTTGGGCTATTTGGTCGGTTGGGCCTCATTGGGCCATATTCGTCACTGTGGTCTGGGTGACTTGACTTGAATGGAGAGACACCATGATAGAGGTGAGATCTGTCATCATGGTGATAGGGCTCATTATAGCGGTCATATTCATCCTCATTGTTGGGATAATACTTGACATCAGAGTAGGATGCTGCTTTAAAATTAGGTCCTTTGCGATCACATGATTTATCACAAGCTTTACGGTGTGATTTACACTCTCTTTGATGTGACGACTCTGGTTCCAGACGATCATCAACATCATAATCCATAGGCTTGACTTGGGAGAAGGGAGATGAGCTTCGAGATGTTGCAGAGGAAGTGTCATCTTTGCTGATTAATCCCACTTCCTGCAAACAGCGGTCAAGGTCCTCAATGTGGTCACGTCGGTGGCTTTGTGGAGTTGGAGGAACATCATTAATCACCGATGGGGCACTTACTGCCTGACGTGGGCTTATGTGGCCACTAGATGGCGTCGGCTTACTTGTAGGTGCTGGTGTAGTAGATGTGTCCTCTTCCCTGCTCTTGGATTGTGACTGAGGTTTTGATGCCTGTCCAGGAGATTGTTGGATTATATCTGTAAGACAGTGGACCTCTCTGCGTAGTTGGTCGCTTTCCTCTCTCATGCTTTTAAGATATCTGAGCACTTCAGATGAAGATGGCTGCTCCTCTTCAGTAATGTGGTGCCTTGGTGTATGGCTGACCTCATAATCCTGGAGATATGATGGTATCTGCCTTGATCTTTGCGGGCGGTTTACATCTCTCACATTTCTTTCATATGACCTTGACATATTGACTGTAGTGGTTGCTTTATCCGGCTCGAAGGACCAAAAATTGTATTGAAGACTGAGGCTGATTCGGTTATGTTGGGTATGGATAAACAATCACTCCAGGGTGTCGGGTTAGAACAGCTGATATATATGTCCAGGTGAGTTAGTGAAAGAAAGGAATGTCCGAGTCCAGAATTGAGCTTTACTTCCTTTTAATTAGCTCATGAGGTTCAGCCATACAGATAAAGGCACGTGTGATGGGCTCACATGAGTGTGTATCTGTGTGTGTGTGGTTTTCTACAAAGATGAACAAAGAAAAATTATGAGAATCTGTCTGTAAATCATTTCACAAATAAACCAAATATCCAGAAATGAATAAACGTCTTTAAACATTACTATAGACTAATAACTGGCTAATATCTGACTATGAAAATGTAAATAATAATAATAATAAACCCTGTGTTTCAACCGGAAACAGTAACAGCTGCATCAATTAAACTAGCTCAACAGCTTAATGCTAACAGCTAACCTTTAGCTCTCAATAATACATGTAAACAGCACTAAACAACCATAATATTCGACAGAACACAGTACAATACAGCTCTCAGGCATTTATGAAACCGAACTAAACCAACAACAATATTACTTACGTTCATTGGACGCACACAATAGAAGGAAGTAAACGAAGTCAGCCTTGAGAGCCGCACCACTCAATGCTCAGATCCATATACAAGATGTAACATATATGAACGTGGAGCCACCTAGTGGCTGAAATAAAATACTACATCTAAAACACTGATAAGGAAAACCTAAACTAGAGGGCTGAAAACGAATAATTAACAGTCTTTTGTACAGTATTATCACTCAGCGTCTGATTAATTTCCACAGTTATGCCTATTATAACCAGCTATATCTATCCATACATTCGATTGAAACTAACCAGTCACATAGAGGAAAGCAGTGTCTTGAAGTTATAAAAACCTGTATGACTCTTAACTTTAAACTTTTAAATGCAGGCAAACCACAAGTTATTGCCTTTGGACAAGAGACTTTAACCTCCTAACATCCACCTCATTTTAGGTAATCCTCGCCTATTTTGCATACCCAAATGGAAAAGCAAATAACTTAGGAACTGTAAGCTCAAATTACATGTGCAATACTTTATTTGAGCTAACACCCTAAAATTGTGTGACTAGAACACAGACCAACCTGCACCAGTTCAAACATGACTCAAAGTTGTTGTTTTTTTCTTGGAAATGACAGCAGTGAGAACAGTCCATGGTGGGGGTGTAAGGGGTCACTGATAATGATCCCACTGGGATGCAACGTCTTTAAATCATGGAAGGGGAGGCCCGATGACATGATGATATATCATTATGTGATACAGTATATTGTGATATAATAACAAAAAAGTATTTATTTCCCATATTAAGAGGATTTTCAGAATTTTACAGAAATTAGAAATATCCTGTTCTGGGTTAATGATTATTTTAATTCTTTATGATCATAAAGTCCCCTAAATTAAGTTAAAACCCGTCAACTGATCCAAAATGCTTCAGCCAGAGTTCTGATGAAAATGAAAAAGACAAATCATATTTCGCTTATTTTAGCTTCCCTTCTTTGGCTTTCTGTCAAATGCAGAATGGAATTTTAAAATCCTTCTTCTCACCTATAAATTCCAAAAAAACAAGCTCCATCCTATGTCATATCAAATAGTCTCTTTAAAGTGCCTTGAGATGGCGTCTGCTGTGAATATATTAATCAATTAAATAATTGAAATGTATCAGAGTGTTAAAAAAAGAAATGTATCAGTTTCAGTGTTAGCGTTTTTCCTTATTATATAACAGGTAGTTATTAATATCTATTGTTTGAACAGTATGTATGAATGGTTGTAGTACATGTGTAAAAACTATACCTTTTAACCTTTACTCCAGCTATCTCTTGCCATAATAGCATAAAAGTTTATTAGAATAAATAATCTGTGTAATTATATTTGTTTCTGTGTTTTCTCCCTAGAAAAAATATCAGTTTGCATGGCTGAAGGTGGCTGTGACAGTCTTAGCTTCAGGGCATAGCTTTCTGACACAAAGTCTCCCTTTTGATCTAGACTAAAATGGTTGATGTTTGTTGTTATAGTTGTGAAAACAGGAAAAAACACCCAGAAAAGGATTATTTCTTAATCGTCTGGGCTGCACCTGTTGAAAATATACAAATCATTAAGCTTCCCTGGACCCAGATGTTTACACCCGGTTACAAGATTTTTAAGCTTTTCATTTTCAATGACATTTTCTCACAGCAGCTGATCTGAATTTACTTTGTCTTTTCAGCGAATGACTTTCAAAACACCCTTACATTCCAGCACACAAACATAAGCATATTAGTTTTACACACAGTAACGCAGCCATGTTCTGTCCCACTTTTGAGACTGACACTGAGCTGTGGCACCCGAAGCACACTTCTGAAACTGTCACACATATTCTAACAATTCCACACTTGAACAAGCTATCATACACACACAGAGAACATGGTTTGTGCTTATACAGCCAAACTCATAAAACATCTTTCTTTTACACATACAGAGTGCAGAATACAATTACACACATCCATTTTAGAGAGTGGTAATGTGTGTTTTCTACTCATCAAATTGAGCATAGTTGACATCTGTTGAGAAAGCTGTGCAATTATCAGCCTTTCTTCCAAGCGCCCTTCCAGCTCTCATCGCTGCTCTGTATTTTCATTATTATTTCGTCTTTATTTTCCTCACTCTCTCTTGGTATTTTTTAAATTATTTTCACAACAATGATAGGGCTGGTTGATTAAAAATGGTGTCATGGGAGCCATTGCTTGCCTAATAGCTTGCTCAAGCAACAACGTTATACAAGGAAGCATTGTAAAAAAACACATTATGAATACACACAATACTTCTTGAATACACAAAGAATGATGCCACATCCATTTGCTGATCAATGTAGTTTCACTATATGAGTTTTAGTGCTCATTAATGTGAACGCCATACACAGAGCCCCTGGGTTTGTTTCATTATCACTTCCATGACAATTAACTTCCAGTAAAAGAAAACAGAATCATCCACAAAGTGTTTTTTTTTCTTTTAACTGGGTCACAATGTATCCATTTGATGAAGAGATGAAATAATTTACATAAATGTCTGATTTTTTTGGATCAGGGTTACAGGTCACATTAAGGTTTTTGAATGCTAAATGCAAGCTTTTTTTCCCCTCACAGGCAAAAAAAACTGTGCCTCAAGCTGTGTATTGACTACCCTGATCCAAATAATTTTAGGCCAGTCCTATTTTCAAAACCAGACTCATTCCTCCAATTCTTTATTGACTTTGCTTTGTTCATGATAGTATGGCGCTTACATCTCTAAGCAATGAGCACTCCATCACCATTTTGCAAGCAGACAAAGGCAGATACACAGTGGCACTCAACACAACTGAATACCTTGAGAAAACAATTCATCTACGTACTAATGGACAGCAACACCTACAAGGCCTGGAAAACGGACTCAACCAATTCCACAAAAAGAAAATAGCAGACTATCCCCAAAATCTGGAAAGAGAGAAAGCCATCGGTAGTAAATATAAATGTAAACCGTACCCAGGAAAGGCCATACTATAGGAAGGAGAGAACCACGGCAGGTCTGATCCTGCTGCACATGGGCTAGGATTAGACCTGCCGTGGTTCTCTCAACATCAGAACATTTTATTTTTTTAATTATGCATTAAATCGGTAAATGGGCCATATAGTGACTCTTAAAAGTAGAATGTTCTCGCCTCAAATTATCTTACAACATAATTTTATGAAACATCAGCAACAAAAGAGAACTTTTAACTTAATATTCTGAGCTCTGTGAGCGCTCGAAAGGAGACGGAGGATACTCATCCACGACCTCCGACACTAAACTCTCCTCCTCTTTCATGTTTCGCCTGTCCATAGCGTTCCTTGACAGTGTGTTTCTAAGTGAGCTGTTTCCAAACAAAATTTCTCTTTATTTATACACTTGTGTAAACAAAATGACCAATAAAATCTGTCTAAGGTCACCAATTTAGTGCTACTTGGTCCCAATTTAATTTCCCATTGGCAAACTACTAGCACTAAGTTGAGATGCGCTCTTAACCCAGCGCCAAACAAGAAAAGGGAATACAGCTCGTCTGTCTGAATCGTGTTCCTCCGATACTTTTTTAACAATGGTTTTCTCAAGAAAACGAGTTACTTTTCTAATTAACTAAAGATAACAAAGCTGTGTTCTCGTGATAACGAGAAGATGTTCTCATTGGAAAGTGTTGGAATCCAGAGGCTTGCCCACCAGAGGGCGCCAAGGATCCCTTCCTGAGGTCTTGTGCTCACCTGCAACACCTGTTTTCCATCTGCTCATCAAGAGGTCCCTACTTAAGGAGGTGGAGAGCTTCACTCCAGCGCCAGAGTGTTTGCCAGTTATGGTTGAACCTGTCTGAAACCAGAAACCCTGTAGAGTTTCTCTG